AAAAAAAAAGCAGGAAGTGGAGTTGTGGCTCAAGTGGTAGAGCGCTAGCCTTGAGCTGAAATGCTGAGGGACAGCGCCCAGGCCCAGAGTTCAGGCCCCACGACTGGACCAAAAAAAACAAAAAAAAAATGATATGCAGAGGAGTTGCAGTTTTATAAGTCAAGTAAAGAGTACATTTCTTTTTGGACAGTGTCACCCTTTCTCTCCCTCCCTCATAGTTTTTCCCTCCTGTCCATATCCACAAGTTGTATATAGTTCATTTCAACAAGAGTTCCATTTAACAAAGCAGTTTATGACTATAGTGTATCTTGAACAGTGTCAGCATTCTCAGAGAAGCACTTCTGAGTCTGGCTCCTTTTCTGTAAAATCAATTAAAAGGAATGTTTTGGTACCTGGAAAACCATTTAGAATACTTTATGATAATACAAACAAATGATCATTGCCTGACTTAGGTTCAACAATAGTAGCATTAAGGACTATTGTTATATCCATAGGAAAAACACTAATGATCAATTATTTAAGAGAGTGAAGTAGAATCTGCAAACAATTCCTTCAATATAATAAAAGAAATTAGTTGCTTGTTTAAAAGAGAATATTTGAGCTGGGCAGCAGTGGCTCACACCTGTAATTCTAGCTATTCTGGAGGCTGATATCCAAGGATCATGGTTCAAAGCCAGCCCAGGCAGATATCTTGAGACTCTTACCTGGAGTTGTGACTTAAGTGGTAGAGCACTGTCCTTGAGCAAAAGAATCTCTGGGATAGTGCCAGGCCCTGAGTTCAAGCTCAAGGACCATATAAAAGAAAGAGAGAGGGAAAGAGAATATATGAATATTAAATTAATTTAGGCCATAGAAGAAGTGCCTTCAAGATACATAAGCTTTAAAATTGTCATAATATTTCTAAGCCATAAAAAACATTCCATTATTGCCAGGCACCAGTGGTTCATGCCTATAATCCTAGTTACTCTGGAGGCAGAGATTTGAGAATTGCAGTTCAAAGCCAGCTTGGGCAAGAAAGTCTATGAGACTTATTTCCAATTAACCACCGAAAAGAGCCATAAGTGGAGCTGTGGCTCAGGTGGTAGAGTGCTGGCCTTGAGCACAAAAGCTCAGAGTTCAAGCACCAGAACTGGCACCCAAAAAAATTCCATTATCATTTTTTCATTCTTGTCACCAAGTTTGGACTTTTCGAGTGTTGGTACTTTTTAAATATTTCATTTCATTTTTGTTGTAAACATTGATTTACAGATGGCATTATGTATTTAACAGAAGCTCAACTTTTATATCTCTTCCTTCTTTCTAGTCCCTGTGTTCCCAAGAGAATTATATTATTGACAAAAGGTGAGGGAATTTTTAACATATATTTTGATAACTTTCTGACTGAAGCTAATAAAAATAAAAAATGTCTTATTAAAATGCCAACAGAATCCAAGACGAGGATGCTAGTAGCACCCAGCAGAGGCGCCAGATATTTAGGTATTGGAAACGTGTTTTCAGTACAGTCTTGGAAAAATTAAAGCATTTCTTTACTTTCTCCCCTCCCCCATAAGCTTTTGAAAGTTTTATTTTTTAATTACAGAGTTAATAAAGATGCTTCAGGAAGATCAACAAATAGCCATCAAAGCAGCACTGAGAATGAGTTGAAATACTCAGAACCACGACCTTGGAGCAGCACAGATTCAGATAGTTCCCTCCGAAACTTGAAGCCTGCTGTAACCAAAGCAAGCAGCTTTAGTGGAATCTCAGTCCTGACAAGAGGTGATAGTTCTGGAAGCAGCAAAAGTATAGGCAGGCTTTCAAAAACAGGTATGATTATCTACCTAGAACTACATTGTCCGACTTTAGTTTGCCTAATGTCTTATCTGTTTAGCATTTTGATTATCCTGAAGTATAACGTCTGTTATACAACTGAGGGAGTAATATATTTATATTCATAGTCCTGTCATAGTGATAGATAAAAAATTCCATCTAAAGTAAAAATTACTCTTAACTGTGACATGAACTTAATCACGTAGGTTTAATGACTCATAATCTCTTCTCTAAGTGCCCCAAGGTGATTGGAAATCCTTCTTTGCTCATCTAGGACAATATAACATTGATTGCATTTTCCATGATAAAGTAATTGGCCATTCTAACAGTGAATGAAATTACTGACATATTTTTAATGAATTTAAAAACCAAAGAAAAGTAATAGGACTATTATATAAATGGAAAGTTGAATAATCTCATTATTCTCAACTATTTTGAATTTAGAATATATTGGTTCTTAAATGTTTCTCTTTCCATTTTCACTAAATTCAATACTAAAAAATCTCATTTGTCTTTTAGGACTCTTATAAATCTTTATTTTTATCCCAAAATAAGCCTAAAAGTCAGAAATAGCTATTTCTTTCTAGCATATTTGAGTTAGACTACACATGATATTGTGTATGTAAGATTTGGAGGGTATATTTAAAGTATTTTTAATTACATGATTATAGTTAGTGCTTTTATATGCTAGTGCTTTTGAATTACAGTTGCTACCTTCTCACTTAAAATATGGGTATATTGCAAATGTTTTAATGGCTAAAACAAGATGTTGCTAAAGATAGTCAAATTTTTTGGAATCTTGAAAAATCCATATGTCTTAAATACACATTAACTGGAAATATGGCCATTTGGTCATCATAACATAAAAAAATACTCTTTCTGTATCATGAGTAGGTTATTCAGACACACTGCCAAATGAAAAATGTTTTAAAACACGAGTTATTCATCTTCAGAGACAAAAAAATATTTGTAATCCTTTTAACAGGGAAAAATGATGCTTAATTCTGAGAGTCAGTTTCTAGAATTCTTAACAAAAGTGATTTTGATACAACTTAAGTAGAATCTATCTTTGAGAAGGTAATAGTGTACCACAGTTGTTTATTTCACTTATTAAAGATTCTCTCCCAGAGTCAACTCTTTTATTAAAAAACTAATTTACTGTGTACTTTATCAAAATCTTTTCCTATCTTCATTGTCTTCATTGCCACTGTTAGCCATTATGCTGAAATTTAAGACCGCTTGCAGACCCTGTATAATACAATAGAAAATGAAAAAAGATTAGGCATAAAAGCACTCAAAATTTTATTGTCAGATTTATTCAATGAGAAATTTTAAGCTTTAATATACGTATCTGAAATATTTTTCATGCTATTGCTTTTAATAAAAAATTCCAAGTGAGTTTACAGGACAGTGTTATGATTGTAAACTGAGAAATGAAATTCTGCAATAACACTTGACAGTTATTTCTCTTACTAGAGAATTTATCATTTCTGTTATTCCCTACCCTATTCTTAATCTTTCATTGTTTTTATAGAGAAGGGTTTCTGATATAAGAGGTTTGGGGCATTTGCCGTGATAAGTTCTTTTTCCTGGGGGAAAATTGTAATCTGTATATTCCTAAGTATTAATCTAAAAGGTAAAATGTACATAACTTTGTCCTTTTGAAAATGTGGGTAATGTGCTTTCTTGTGGCTGACTGTGGCTGCTGTTATAAACTTGCTTAAGTTGCATGCTTTGGCTATGACTTTTCTGACAATTGATGTGATTTGTTTGCTGCATTAAACTTGTTTGTGTTTGGGAGGGTAAGGAATATTAGACAGTAAATCAAAAATAGCCATTGCTTTTATGTGGTAACTGCATGTTATGCAATCTGAATTTTATTGTTACATTTTTTAAAAACATGTGTTTTTATGTGAGGTTTAAAAAATCCATATTTTTCATTACTCCTTCCCTAGGTTCTGAGTCTTCTGGTAGTGTAGGGTCATCTACGGGCTCTCTTTCTCACATCCAGCAGCCTCTTCCAGGTACAACTCTCAGCCAGTCTTCTCATGGCGCACATGTCGTCTATCCAACTGTCAGCACTCATAGTTCTCTTTCCTTTGATGGTGGCCTAAATGGGCAAGTCGCATCTCCTAGCACTAGCTTCTTTTTGCTTCCCTTGGAAGCGGCAGGCATACCACCTGGCAGTATTCTGATCAACCCACAAACAGGTTGGTATCCAGAAAAAGTGTTTGTTTCAGCAGAGATATGAGGAATTGTCTGAAAACTTTTTAAATGTATTGTCTACGTATGTGTTCTAAATGATTTTTAATGATTAGTGTTTGTCTGAGAAACTTAAATATTTATGCTAGAAAATATTCAAAAGACATTTATTTTGGAAACATTTTTAAGAACAACCTATTTCTGAAAATGAGACAACTGCCTTTGAGAGAACTTTATTAAATACGAGTTTTGTTCTAGAGAAACAGGATTTTATGAAGAATTGAGTAAGCAGCTCTTAATTATTATGTATGAATTAAATAATATCCTTTTTTATCGCCAAGTAGTATTTCATATATTTCTTATATGTCTGTCACCCCTTAAAGAGAATTTGTATTCTTTAGCTGGCAACATGAATAAAGCTGCTGTTGATATTTACCAATATAAAAGAGCGAAGAAGATGTTATTTAGTCAGTCTTTGTACTCATCTCATTCTTAAGTTATATTCATAGTATTTATCTTTTTTTTCTTGGATAATCAGTGTATACTACAAAAAGTTACCAGTCTTTTTTTTGTCAGTAGTGGGGCTTGAACTCTGGGCTTGGATGCTGTCCCTCAGCTCTTCAACTCAAGGCAAGCACACTACCACTTGAGCCACAGCACCACTTCTGGTTTTCAGGTGGTTAATTGGAGAAAAGATTCTCCCTGACTTTCCTACTCGGGCTGGCTTTGAGCCATGATACTCAGATCTCACCTCCTAAGTAGCTAGGATTACAGGCATGAGCCATTGGTGGCCAGCTTTAATTTTTGAACCTCTTATTTCACTTTTAAAAATCTAAAAAAGTATAGAATGTTGACTATAAAATTATATGGAGGGCAGGGAAAGTGGCTCAGTGGTAGAGCACTTGCCTTGCATGCATGAGGCTCTGGGTTCGATTCCTTAGCACCACATAAGCAAAAAGAAAAAAGCCAGAAGTGGCGCTGTGGCTCAAGTGGTAGAGCACTAGCCTTGAGCAGAAGAGCTGAGGGACAGCGCCCAGGCCCAGAGTTCAGGCCCCACAACCGAAAAATATGGATAGGGCTGGGAAGGTGGCTCCATAGTAGAGTGCTTGCCTTGCATGCATGAGGCCTTGGTTTCAATTCCTAAGTACCACATAAGCAGAAAAAGCCGGAAGTGGCACTGTGGCTCAAGTGGTAGAGCGCTAGTCTTGAGCTGAAAAGCTGAGGGACAGCGCCCAGGCCCAGAGTTCAGGCCCCATGGCTGACCAATTTCTTGGTTATTTTCCAAAATGAAACGTTGCATTTTATAGTAAGCTTAAAATATGTGTGGAGAGAAAGTATTGTTCCTAGTTGCTAAAATTACTCACTATCCCCTTAAGTACTTAGCACCTGAAAAAAGTCAATACTAAAGATCACCCTCGTTCTATTTCCAACAAATTAGAAGTTGCAAAATAAGGACACTGCCGTTTGAATTCACAACGCAAAGTTTGAAATATATGCAGTATGTCCTATAAGTGAGATTATTTTCTACCCCCTTAAAACTGCTGAATAAATTTCCAGGCCAGCATTTTTTCTTTGAGCTGAAAATGTTCTTGCCCTACAAGACCACAATCCTGTAATTGAATGTCTTGGGCAAAATTTGTTTTACAATTCAAAATTATTCAGAAAATACCTTGAATATAAGATTAGTTTTGTAGGGTCTGTCTGGGAAAATGCACTATCACTAAATACAGAAGTAAAACATTTGAATATTACCTCTAAGTGGGAAACATGAAGGTTGTTAAATACCTTATATCAAATCAATCTGTTTCCAAATCTAAGAAAATCTTTTAATTTTTTGATGGAAGTTTTGGAATAGCTGATAGATTTGTGAACATAATTTGTTAACTGATAATAAAATGACTTATTTCCAATCTCTGTTGTAAATGGCTTTTCTACTTCTTCAGGTCAGCCCTTCATAAACCCAGATGGGAGTCCAGTTGTGTATAATCCTCCTATGACTCAACAACCAGTTAGATCCCAAGTGCCTGGACCTCCACAGCCACCTCTGCCACCCCCACCACCTCAACAACCAGCAGCTAATCACATTTTCTCACAGGTACACATTCCCATGGTTACATAAATAATTAATGAAATTAGTCCTAAATATGCAAAAGGAGGTAACACAGTAGATTGCCCAAATACATATCTACTGTGAACTTGTTTGAGTGCCCTTAACAGAAAAGTATAAGATAAATTATGATGTAGGAATTGTAGTTTCAAAAATACCCACAATGAGCTATGATTGGAAGTTTGGACGTTTATTTCAAACTCCATAACTGATTTTCTTGGCACCTTTTTTTTTTTTTTTTTTTTTTTGTCAGTCGTGGGGCTTGAACTCTGGGTACAGGCATTGTCCCTCAGCTCTTCAGCTCAATGCTAGCGCTCTACCACTTGAGCCACAGCGCTACTTCTGGCTTTTTTCTTTTTGCTTATGTGGTGCTGAGGAATAGAACCCAGGGCCTAATGCATGTAAGGCAAGCGTTCTACCACGAGCCACCTTCCCAGCCACCCACTTCCGGATTTCTGAGTGGTTTATTGGAGATAAGAGTCTCATAGACTTTCCTGCCCTGGCTGGGTTTGAACTGCGATCCTCAGATCTCAACCTCCTGAGTAGCTGGATTAAAGGCATAAGCAACCAGCACCCAGCTATCCCGGCACCATTTTAAGTATGGCATGCAGGTGATTGATCATCAGATACAGAAATAAAAACTGAATGAATAAATGGTGCCAACAATTATCTTTTGTACATTCCAAGACCACTTACGGAATTTTCAAATAACCAAACAAATTAATGCTGTGGATTCCAATGTTTTCAGATCGGCAACATTTCTTAAACATACAGTTACATAAACCAATCACTATGTGAATGCTGTTTTGCATTCAGGCACAGTCTACATAGGAAAATGAAATGAGGATACTTTTTTTTCTTTAAATGGTGTCAGATTTTCACTTTAATCAATTATTTAGGGCCAAGGTTCTATTTACTATTGGACACTCAGGATCATTAATTCATACTCTTGGTTCTTTTGTCCCCCAATAGACCCACATTTTATTTTGTTTGTTTTACATGAAAGTTTTTTGAAAAAAAAGTAATGTCTTGAACTCAGGGCTTGAACGCCAAGACTGGCCTTCAACCACTTGAACTGTGCCTCCAGTTCTGATTGTCTGAGTTAACAACATATCAAATAGACTGTATTCAGACTGTATATATCCCATTTGCCTCCAGTTAGTTTGTTCATTTCTGGTTGAGAGATCTGAAAGGAACCAGAGGCTACTCTATAGATTGTTCTGCTTTAACTTCTTTTTGGTGTTTTGCTTTAATGTGGATTAGGTGCTAAATTCTAAGCCGATGTGAGCCTTTGAGGTTGTTTTGGGGTTTTTTTTTTTTCCTTTTTTAAAATGAAGCCATTGTTTATTTTATGATAAAAGAGTAGCTCATTATAAATTTTAGTTACCAGAAAAATTTATCTTTAGATTATTCTCTGAGCAGTCACTCCATTAGCTTATCTTGCATTTTAAGTTACTTATTAAAAGGTAGAGCAAAGATTTATGCATGTACATTTTGACCAAAAGTAAGAATTTTCATCATGTTTGATTCTCTGGATTCCTCATCTGTTTATTTATCTGGCTTTCTTTATGTCACTTAATCTGATTGTCATCTATAGATTACAATAATGTTTAAGCCAGATACATAGGATTGGAAAATTAGATGTCAGTGTTAGCTTATAGACAATCAGTTATATTCCCAAGGGGTAGAAATGATTAAAACTTATTCATTACCTAACTCATGTAATTGTAATCCATCTGTACATCATCTTTATAATAACAATGAAGTAAATTAATTAAGATTATATTTTTTAAAAATTTTTGCTGGAGTTTTTGTGGATATTGTTTATTTTATACAGCATCTTTTTTAGTGCCTCTTGAAAACACAGAAACTTTTCTCTGAAACATTTTAATGAGTTAATAGCTAAAGATTTCTGGTAACTATTATTTCAGCTTCTAACATGTACTCTTTTTAAAAAATAAATAAAACATAGTTACAAGAAAGTTGTTAAAGATAAGAGTGTATGGACATACATCTGTGTTTTGATGTGTATTATTCTTGATGTTATAATTATTCATTGTGCCCTAAGTACATTTTGCTTACAAAATTAACTAAAATTTAGGAGTATAGCCCTAAAACAATATAAAATCATATCTAAACAAATAGGAAAATTGGTCATTGGTGTAGGTTCTTATTGTTTGATAATGAGTAAAGATTTTTAATTTACAATTTAGTATTATAGAGCTAAACAAGGTAGACCCTTCATAACAACCAGGAAATAGAGAAAGTTTTACTCTTACTAACTTAACCCAGGGGTTTTGTTAGAAAATAAGATTTGAAATGACTAGATTACCTGTTTATATTATTCTGTAATTTTTTTAAAAACTATCACAAAAAATTATTCTAATTATGGAATGAGTTTAGGCATGGGTATGTTTTCAAATTTTACTAAATACAATTTCTTCATTTGGTATCATTTTTATCGTTTCCTATAATCCTGTATTTTAAATTACTCTTAAAATGTTGTTAAATCTATTGCCCAAAATGTGTCAATTTCCATTTATGTATTTCTCTTAACATTTTATTCTGACATTAACACTGTTTGCCCACCTGTTATTTCTTAGCCTGTGCGTCCTCTGCAGTCCTCTCCTCAGCCTGTTCAGTGCTCTACAGCCCCTTACCCATCCCCGCTCCTGCCAGTCTCACCCACCCAGCAGTACTCCGTGGTACTGTATCTCTATTCACCTCCTAGTTGTTTCTGTGGGTAGATGTGTGATGAATGCTCAAGAATGTGATCAGTGTGATGTGATCTTTTGTGACTTCTTTTTTCTTAGTCAGCTGCATATGTAACAGAAGTGTTTTTTGATCCACATTAGTAATTCTCTTCAAAAAAACTAGTTTTATTAGCTTATTATAGTCATTGTTTATACTCTAATCTTTTCTGCTTTTTCTTACTAAGATACTCTTTAGGTTGCCTGTTTAGTTTTAAGATGTTTTAGTTACTTTTCTCATTGAGGCCAGTGAAGAATCTGTCCAGTCGTAGAATGGCAGCTTCCATTTAGGTTCAGACCTAATATTCTCTCTGTCCAGTAGGCTCCACAACAGTTAATTTAGATAAATTGTAACTTACAGCTACAGAGTAAAATAGTACTTTGAAAGATCCTTTTTTCTTTTCTTGTTTTGGTCATGGGGCCTAGGCACTGTCCCTGAGCTTTTCAGCTCAAGGTGAGTGCTCTATCACTTGTGCCACAGCACCACTTCTGGCTTTCTGGTGGTTTATTCAAGATAAGAGGCTCGCTGACTTTTTTTCCTGCCTTAGCTGGCTTTGAACCATGATCCTCAGATCTCAGTCAACTGAGTAGATAGGATTACAGGCATAAATAAATAAGCTACCGGCACCTGGCTCAAAGATCTTTAGATACTGAATTTCACACTAAAATAATAGTACCTTCTTTCATCCAAAATATGCCCCAAATTATAACTGTTAAAGATTCCAGACTCATATACTGCGGCGTATTAGCTGTGTGACTATGAAACAATGTAAAGTTCTTTTCCCTAGTGCCCATCCTGAAGTAAGTGCAGAAGGAAGGAGGGAGGGAGGAAGGGACAATTTATTTTCCTGAAGATGCATTTCCTAATATTTTTCCCAGTGGCATTGTTATTTTTCAGACTATTTAGACATCACATGTTGAGACTGCATTTCAGATCATTCTCAACAGTTTTGGAAGCATTTTGTTTTATTAGGAGTGATTTTATTTTTAAGCTGTGGCAACATCATTTAGCAGCCTTAACTTTAATTTCCAAAAATTACTTCCAACCTGAGCAAAAAAAGAAACTATGACAAAAAAAAAAGACTGTGGTTAAAAAAAATTAGAAAAGAAAGCAAAAAGAGTCACATATTTTGGAAATTTTCAGTGGAATAAGGAAAGTACTTATGCTAGACGCCAGTGGCTCAGCTTGTAATCCTAGCTACTCAGGAGACTGAGATCTGAGGATCACAGTTCAAAGCCAGCCCAGGCAGGAAAAGTCCATGAGACTCTGATCTCCAATTAACCACTGGAAGACCAGAAGTGACATTGCAGCTCAAGTGGTAAAGTGTTTGCATTAAGCTGAAGAGCTCAGGGCAGCACCCGGGCCCAGAGTTCAAGCCCCACAACCGACAAAATAAAAACAAAATTAAAAAAGTACTTACTAAGGTGATTCTAGGAGTAATATTTGGTTATGGAATCTCTGTTATTTTTTGTTGTGTTTTTGCTTTGAGGTGGTTTTTTGTGGGGAGAGGGGAGATAAGGTGCTGTCCCTAAGCTCTTTTGCTCAAGGCTAGTGATCTACCATTTTGAGCCATAGCACCACTTCTGGTTTTCTGGTAGTTAATTGGAAATAGGAGTCTCATGGACTTTCTGCCCAGCTTGCTTTGAACCTCGATCCTCAGATATTAGCCTCCTGAGTAGCCAGGATTACAGGCATGAGCCACCAGCACCCAGCTGCTTTGAGGTTTCAAGAATTGACTTCAGGCCAGGTGGCTCACGCCTGTAATCCTAGGTACTGAGGAAGCTGAGATCTGAGGATCATGGTTCAAAGCCAGCCCAGGCAAGAAAGTCCATGAGACTCTTATCTCCAATAAACTACAAGAAAACTAGAAGTGGCACTGTGGCTCAAGTGGTAGCGTGCTAGCCTTGAACTTGAGAGCTGAAGGACCGTGCCTAGGCCCAGAGTTCAAGTCCCACATCCGGAAAAAAAAAATTGATCAGAGCTTTGTTTCCTGCTAGGCAAATGTTGAGCCTCTTGAACTATGCCCTATATAGGAATTTTAAACAAATTTTGGAACATGTTACTTAATAACATGTTAACTAATTGTTAACTAGAAGATTTTTTTAAAGGTAGTTTTATTTGTTTTTTTTTATCCCCTTTACAACTCATTTATATTATTAAGCTATTATACCAGCATATATCACTGTGTGTTATTGGGAAGAGTAAAACCATGTATTTTTAGTCATTAAGTCAAGCTTCCCATTTTCAGTACTTTAACTTTTTTAAAGCTTTAATTTACTTGCAAAAACCAACAGATTCTAGAAACTTCAGGCATTATCAACTATGATCTGACAGTTTGATTGCCTCTACTTTGTAAGCTGCTCTTTTCATTGTAGACCTTTATAACAAAAAGAATATATTGTCAATCTATGGGTCTCTGGAATTAGGGTAATTTCCATTTTATCACTGTGCTGTCATTTTAGTTTTCTAGACCAATAAAAGCCTATCCTCATCCTGTAGTCAGCGCAACATTAAGCTGTAGAAAACTACTGTTTGCATTATATTTATCTAACTCCAGTGACATTAAGAAAGAACAGAAATTACGTACAAGTAATCTTTATCTGTTATATGTGCAGATGATACTATTGCAACTCAGTAAAATATATATGTAAGTACTCTCATTGATAAATTTAATTTATGTTTAAAAGGTTTACTGATTGCCTGTTTTCCCCTTTTTAGCAGGATAACCTTGGTTCTCAGTTCAGCCACATGAGTCTTGCCCGCCAGCCATCTGCTGATAGTTCTGACCCTCATGCCACAATGTTCCAGTCCACGGTTGTTCTTCAGTCTCCTCAGCAGTCTGGTTATATCATGACAGCAGCACCCCCACCACATCCTCCACCTCCACCACCACCTCCTCCTCCCCCACTACCTCCTGGGCAGCCAGTCCCTTCAGCTGCCTATCCTGCCTCTGCTCATCCTGTCAGCCAGCCTGTGCTCCAGCAACAAGGATATATTCAGCAGTCCTCACCACAGGTACATTTCTTCTCACCTTTTCTCCCTCAACAGTAGCCTCTCATTTAAAGTCAGTTTTAACATCAAAGACCTATTTTTAAATTCTCATGGACAGAATTTTACAGAAGTCTGTAAGTTATCTTACCTTCAGGAGATTTTCAAGCATACACTGGAAAACCACAACAAGCTAACATTTCAGCTGTATGATTAAAGTTTGTGAACATTTGTGTTTTTCTCTCTGAGAGATGTGGTTTTATTTTGTTGTTGTTTTTTTTTTTTTTTTGGTCAGTCTCGGGGCTTGAACTCTGGGCTTGGGCGCTGTCCTTCAGCTCTTCAGCTCAAGGCGAGCGCTCTACCACTTGAGCCACAGCGCCACTTCCAGATTTCTAGTGGTTTATTGGAGATAGGAGTCTCACGGTCTTTCCTGCCCTGGCTGGCTTTGAACCGAGATCCTCAGATCTCAGCCTCCTGAGTAGCTAAGATTACAGGCATGAGCCACCGGCGCCAGGCATTTTGTTGTTATTGTTTTGTTTTTTATTGTGCTCTACCTTAAACTCAAGACCTAAAAATCTTGACCTAAAATTCTCACTCAGCTTTCTTACTCATTCATGGCGGTGTTCTGCCACTTGAACCACACCTCCAGCCAGCCTGGCTTTTTTTACTGGCTAGTAAGAGACATTCTCACAGAGTTTTGTATTGTAACTAGTGTCAAACCTTGAGCCTCTGGGCCTGGGTAACTAGGAGTATGGGCATGAGTCACTGGCACCTAAATTTGAGTGACATGCTTTTTTTTTTTGCTTTTTTTATACTGTTCCTGGAGTCTGGGAAATATCCCTGAGCTTTTGTGCTCAAGGCTAACTAGTGCTGTACTATTTGAGCCATGTCTCCACTTCTGGCTTTTTGCTGGTTGATTGGAGATATCTCATGGATATCTGGCTGACATCAAACCGTGATCCTCAGATCTCAATCTCCTGAGTAGCTAAATTTCAGACATGAGCCACAGTGCCTCTGACATTTAAACAAGAAGGTTAGTTCACTGCAGTTAAAATTTCATGGTGGGACTCTATTGGACTCTCTCCCTCTCCTGGACTACCTCTCTGTGACCCAGCTTATATGGCAAGGTTTCACAGTCTCCTGCATAATGATTACTCCTTATGCCCAGGCCCCACAGTAACTGAGAACCTAGTTTTCTATTCTCACCCTCCAGGATAAAGAGCGAAACAGAATGCCTTTCTTCACCACAGCTGGCCTTCCTCAGAAATTGGTTTCTGCCTCATGAATCCCTGCAGAGATTACAACTTTTAGGATGTGTAGGGTTATCCTAGAATCTACAGGACCGTATGGTTTATCATGCAATGGAGTATGCTTCCCCTCCTCCCACCAGGGATCTAGGGACAGGCTTGGAGCTACTTTTCTTCTATTAGGTTTCTCTGTAGTTAATTGCCTTGTCCCAATGCTCCTTCATAGTTCTTGGTTCTCTTCCTTTCTCTCTTCTGAATCTAGTCGTGTGTGTGTGTCTGTGTCTGTGTCTGTGTGTCTCTGTGTGTCTGTGTGTCTCTGTGTGTCTCTGTGTGTCTGTGTGTATAGATTCCTATTCACGATGTGAAAGTGACAGATGCTTCTAATCTGCCATCATGTCCCACCTCCTCTTTAATTTGCTGAGATTGTTCACAATGCAAAGGTGTTAATTTTTTTGGAATGTGTTTGTCTGTATCTATTGAAATAATGATATGATTTTTCACATTTATTAACAAAAGGTGAATCATATTTACTGACTTTTTGAAATTTATTCAGAATTTTGTTTCATATTGACATATAATAGTATGTATTATGGCATTGAGTAGATTTTTGTACATGTTAACAATGTAATTTACCTGTCCATAGCCTCAGACATTTATCATTTCTTTGTGTTGGGAACATTTAACATGTTTTCTGGTTGCTATTTTGGTGGTACTAATGTTTGAACTCAGGGATTCACATTTTGCTAGACATGTGCTCTACCTCTTGAGCCATGCCTCCAGCCCTTTATCTTGAAATATTCATTCGTTGAGGTTGACTGACTTTTGAATGTTTAATTGAACTTTAATTTCCAGAAGATACTTCACCTGGAAATTATATTGTGAACTTTTTATGTCTTGCTAGACTAGCTTTTTATTAAAGAATTTTGTTAAAGAATTTTTCTAGCCGGGTGCTGGAGGCTCTCGCCTGTAATCCTAGCTACTCAGAAGACTGAGATCTGAGGATCTCAGTTCAAAGCCAGCCTGGGCAAGAAAGTTCATGAGACTCTTTATCTCCAATTAACCACCAGAAAACCAAAAGTGGTGCTGTGGCTCAAGCGGTAGAACGGTTTATATAGCCTTGAGTTGAAGTGTGCAAGGAGAGCATCCAGGCCCAGAGTTCAAACCCCATGACCAAAAAAAAAAAATTTTTTTTCCATCTGTTTTTGTGGAGGATGTTGTTCTGTTGTTTGCATGTAATATGCTTGGTTGTAGTATTTGAATGATACTAGCCTTAAAAGAATTGGGCTTTGTTCCTTCTTTTTGGAAATGATGCTACTTCTTCATAAATATTTTGCTCAAATTTACCTATGAGTTTATCTGTACCTGCAGTTTTGTTTCAGCAAAGGTTATTAATAATTATGTCCAACTTCTTTTTTTTTTTTTTTTTGTCCATGGGGGGCCTGAACTCGGCCTGGGCGCTGTCCCTCAGCTCTTCAGCTCAAGGCTAGTGCCCTACCACTTGAGCCACAGCGCCACTTCCAGCTTTTTCCTTTTTGCTTATGTGGTGCTGAGGAATCGAACCCAGGGCCTCAGGCATGCAAGGCAAGCGCTCTACCACTGAGCCAACTTCCCAGCCCCTATGTCCAACTTCTTAATTCCAGTTTCCTATTTATTTTTTATCAAAGTTGTTCATTTGTGCCCATTTGATTTAACTATGAATTTATTGATATAAACTGTTTGTATGCAGCTGGGCACCAGTGGCTCACACCTGTAATCCTAGCTACTGAGGAGGCTGAGATCTGAGGATCATGGTTCAAAGCCAGCCCAGACAGGAAAGTCCATGAAACTCCACACTCAGAGTTCAAGCCCCACAACTGACAAAAAATCAAAAATAATAATAATAATAATAAATTTTGTATTATTCCTTATTATAATTTCAGTATTTTTACTATCTATTATGGTATTTCTCTTCTTTTTATTTTTTTATGTGATTCTTGTGTTTGAACTCAGGCCCTCAAATTTGCAAGGCTGATGATCTGCCATTTGAGACAGGCTGCAGCCTCGTGTTTTTTTTTTAATGAATATTATTTTATATGATCAGATGCACATAAGTATTGTGCCTTTGTGTTACTCTCCTAAGAATATCCTCCTTTGGTCTTACTGTATGTGAATGCTTAGAATGTGTATAATTTATCACATCTCAGTGTATTTTAGATCTAGTGTCCCCATATGAGAGAAAACGTACCATTTTTCTTCCTGAGGTTGGCTGACCTCACTTTATATGATTTGTTTCCCTGCAAATGACATAGTGTTGTTCTTTCTATAGCCTGGTTTTTTACTAGTTAATCTAACAAAATTTTCTGCCCCAGCCCCTCAAGAACCATAGTTCCTAAAGATCTCAGCCTCATGAGTAGCTGGAATTACAGGCATAGGCCACCAACACCTGGCTTTAATTCCTTATAACAGAAATTTTAGTCTGTTTTTATTTGTTAAGATAATGGTTTATCAACTCTTGTTGATGTTCTTTTTGTTGTTATTTTGTTGTCTGAATTCTGGGCTTACTAATGGGCTTAAGCCTGGCATCAGTGGCTCACGCCTAATCCTGGCTACTCAGGAGGCTGAGATCTAATGATTGCTGTTCAAAGTCAGCCCAGGCTGTTAGACCACTCAAGAGCTGAAGTAGAGCTATGGTTCAAAGTGGCAGAGCAATAGCTTTGAGCAAAAGAGCTCAGGCACTGCACCCACATCCTGAGTTCAAGCCCCAGGACCAACCCAAAAAAAAAAAAAAAAGGCACTCTACCACTTGAGGATGGCTTACATTCTGTTTCTCCCTTATATACTATCAGTCTTTTGTCTTCTTCCTTACATAGTAGTTGTCATTTTACTTTTCATTAGAAGTATGAGGAAGGTGGGCATGATGGTTCTTGCTTGTGATCCCAGTTACTCTGGAACATGGCCGTTCATAGCCAGCCCTGGCAAAAGTTAGCTAGACCTCCATCTCAACCAACAAGGTGGGCATACTGACACCACATGTATTGTTCTGGCTGTTCAAGAGGCATAAATAGGGGAATCAGAGTCTACAACAAGTCTTCGGCAAAACACAAAACCCTATATAAGAATACAAAGCAAAAATGGACTAGAGGCATGGCTCAAGAGGTACAGCACCTGCCCATCAAACACAAGGCCCTAAGTTCAAACCCCAGTAACCACAAGGGGGAAAAAAATGAAATACAAGGGAAAGAATAAAGAAGGGGACTAATGCAACAAAATACTAAACATGAGATTTAATAGTTACATTTCTACAATAAATGCTGTTTCACAGTTAAATTGAATGAGCTAACCATCCATATTTCAACAAATGTCTCAAAAACAATGTTATTGTATAAATTTTGTGAAGTTGCACATATTATAAATTTTTTTGAATAATCAGCAACACATGTATGAATAATATGTGGTAGAAGTTGAAAAAACGTTTGGAGAAATGTTATTACTAAACACAGGTTAATGGTTTTTCTTTTAGGATAATGGGTTTTTGGGTTGTTTTGTCAGTTGTGGGGCTTGAACTCTGTCTGGGTCTGGGTGCTGTCCCTCGGCTCTTCAGCTCAAGGCAAGTGCTCTACCACTTGAGCCACAGTGCCACTTCTGGTTTTCTGGTGGTTAATTGGAGATAAGAGTCTCACGGTCTTTCCTGCCCGGGCTGCTTTTCAACCAAGATCCTCATATTTCAGCCTTCTGAGTAGCTAGGCTTACAGGCATGAGCTACCAGCTCCAACTTTTTTTTTAAATAAAAGGTAGAATAAAGGAATTAGAATAAACCTGTACCTGTTTCAGCATTGCTTAGTTTGAATCTGAAACATGGCAAGAAATTAAAATCTAATAATTTCTGTAAACTTGAGGAAATGTAATAAAATCTTCCTGTATGTAACTAATTTAAGCTAACTTTTAAGGCAAGAAAAAAGCTAAATATTTTTATTGGACACATTAGTAGATACTTTTTTTTTGTCAGTCTTGGGGTTTGAACTCAGGGAATGAGCACTGTCCCCGAACTTTTTTGCTCAAGGCTAGTGCTCTACCACTTTGAGCTACAGCTCCACTTAGTTTTCTGATGGTTAATTGGGAATAAGAGTCACTTTCCTGCCTGGGCTGGCTTTGTAATGACAAATTTCAGCCTCTTCAATAGTTAGGATTACAGGCATGAGCCCACAGGCACCCAGCTTAGTAGATCCTTTTTATTTTTTTGTTGGTGGTTGGGCTTTTGAACTCTGGACCTGGGCTCTGTCCCTGAGCACTGGAACACAAGGCGAGCTCTCTACCACTTGAGCCACAGCGCCACTTCCAGTTTTCTGGTGGTTAATTGGAGACAAGAGTCTCACGCTGGGGCTGGGAAGGTGGCTCAGTGGTAAAGCGCTTGCCTTCATGCATGAGGCCCTGGATTTGATTCCTCAGCACCATATATAATCAAAAAAGAAAAAAGCCAGAAGTGGCGCTGAGGCTCAAGTGGTAGAGCACTAACCTTGAGCTGAAGAGCTGAGGGACAACACCCAGGCCCAGAGTTCAGGCCCTATAGCCGGACCCCAAAAAAAAAAAAAGAGTCTCACAGATTTTTCCTGCCCAGTCTGGCTTTGAACCATGATCCTCAGATTTCAGCTTCCTGAGTAGCTAGCTAGGGTTACAGGCGTGAGCCACCTGCACCCGGCCAATAGATACTTTTTAATCCATACTGCTTATTAATTTTTCAGAGAATTTTTAAAAGCTTAAAGTTAAGTTTCAGAAGTAGAAAATTAGTTTTCAGGTAGTTGGTGTTAAAGAATTGTTACTTTTTAAACTGTGATGTTCTTCACCACCAAACCCCCCCCCCAAAAAAAAAAACTTACAAGTAAAAGTAATTTTTGTCGTTGGTGTTTACAATCCTAGATGCCAGCCTGTTACTGTGCTCCAGGCCATTTTCACTCCAGTCAGCCTCAGTATCGCCCTGTCCCTTCTATCCATTATAGTTCACATCTAAACCAACCACTGCCACAGCCTGCACAGCAGACAGGTGAGTCCTGTTTCTGATACCATAAATTCTTAGATGTGCACGTTGCTTTTGTTCATCTTTATTTCAGTGTTTTATCTCAATTTATAGTTTGGGGTCTTACATATAAATATGCAGGACAGTGAGATGGAAAGTTCTGCAGAAAACTCCACACTGTCAGAATGTGTATGTTAAGATGCTACCTGGCAAATAGTATGGTAAACAGATGCCCAGTACTCAACTGCCACGGTAGTGAAAGCAGCTAATAACCCACTTGTTGAACATCAGGAAGAGGAAAGAACAAGATAGATGTCTTTCTGAATGGCTAAACAGAAGCAAAACCAAGAATCTTAGGCAGCTTGTCACTATTAACAGGATCTCAAACTGTTAAGTATGACCATCATTTCAACCTCAGCAGTTTTCTGTTCTTGATAAGGTTTTAACTCATTTGGGTTACTTCCACTTCATTTCTCACATCTGATGAGAAGTGAGTGTTCTTCCTTCTTACTGATGCAGTGTCTAGTTATCATTGCCATTCAATAATTCTCTTTTAGCAGCTAAAGTTGTGCTTAGCAGTACCTACTATAACTCTGCAGTAGAACTTTGTAGGTTTTAATCTGTACCCTTGTCTTGCACTAAGTATACAGGTTTTTTTCTTTTTCAGTACCAGTACTGTATAGGTAACAAATATTCTTCCAAAGGATGAATACAAACATTGACCATTTTAGTAGAGTTGTAATTTGTTCTCTCTCAAATAGTGACATTTAGCATCAGGTATACCTTAAGTTGATAATAGCTATGTCAAGCAAAATAAAGAAGGTAGGCACTGGTGGCTAAAGCCTGTAATCCTAGCTACTCAGAAGGCTGAGATGTGAGGATTGTGGTTCCAAGCCAGCCCAGGTAGGAAAGTCTGTAAGACATTTTATCTTCAATTAACCACCAAAAGTGGAGGAGTTGTACTTGTGGTAGAGTACTAGCCTTAGAGTACTAGGCTTGAGTGAAAAAGCCAAGGCAAAGTACCCAGGCTCTGAGTTCAAGACTCACTACTGGCACACACACACACATGCACGCATTCACTTACACACCTACACACACAAAACCTAGTATATTCTCTCTAATTTGCAAAGACATCAAAAGTTGTATGCGTGCCCCCTCCCCACACACACACATACAGCCTTTTTTTATGTGGTGCTAGGATTTTATTTAACTCATGGCCTTAAGGTTGCTAGGCTGATACATCCAGCCCAAAAGTTGTCCTTTATACATGGGAAAATTGGTCATGTTACTGCTTGTCGATGTTAATATAGTGTTGTTTTGGTGTAATAAAAATGACTTTTTTAGACAGATATAGCGATATACTCTTATAATCCTGAAATTTGGGAGGATAAACTACAAGGATCACAGGCTCAAGCTAACTGAGGCAACATAACAGGACCCTATCTCATATAACACACAAGCAAAAATAATTAATTTCCCTTAAAAGAAGAGAGAAAATTATTTTTCTGAGCTTTCCTGGGCCTCACTCATTGACTTTTTCTATTGTTTGTGTCTGATTTTTGTCTTCTAAGATTATAATAGATCATAATTGATATCATGATAATTGAAAAACCAAATTTACCCTCATGCTACTTATTTAAATACATTTTATATGACTAATTAATGTGGTTTATTACTATACACTGTTAATGATGCAAGCATTTTATAACCTTTTTACTTTTTTTATGGCAAAATCTATTTCCCATGATCAAACAGCCTATAAAATAAAAACATTTAGTCACAATTTGGAACTAATATACTTGTTTAAATGCATCTCTGCAAACAAATATTTCCATTTAATGGAGCACAACTTAAAAACTCCCTATACCAAGACCAAAATATTTGTATGACATACTGTGCTGTCATCATTAATATTTCTAACTATGAGTTCTTTCTAATGCTAGTTACTGGTGAAAGGGAAAGAAATAGTAAGCTAGCTTACATCTGGATAATGCAGGTACAGAAAAGAAAATTGTGTCTTTGAATAATTTTTTTACATATTTGACTCATAGAACCTGAGGTTGTCTTTTCAGATGTCTTCAGATGTTCTAGCATAACTTATTTGTATCTCATTCAATTAGAAAAATTAAGAGAAATCTTCAAAGCATTATTATGTGAAAGAGAAACAAATTTTTATAGTTAGCTAATATCTATTTTATTGCATATATTACAGAAAAGTATGCATTTGTCTGTGTTCTGATAGAAAAGCAAAATGCACTAAGAAATAAAGCAGTTTTCTGTTTCTAATTTTTTTATTTTTTTGTACAGTTTAATAGCAATTTTAGTTCCAGTAACTTTGATTTTCATCTGCAAATATACTTTCTATATTTTCCTTTCTTGGATTTTTTTCATGATATTTTCTTACATTCCACCATTTCAGTCTGATCAATAGTGAGAAATTCATCATATCTTTAACTTTTTTTTTTTTTTTGCAAAACGCTTTGGACTCTACAAAGTAGTAGGAAGTATAATATTTCCTTTTATTACATAAAAGAGTGGAACTAATTATTTGGCCAAATAACGAAAACTCTAGCAGATTTGGAACAAATACTTATCACTGTAGAACAAATGTCTAAATATTTATATGTAGATTTAAAATAAGTTTATTCTAAATTAACAAAACCAATTTAGTGAACTCTTCTTAGACCCATCAGAGTATGGACAATAGAAATAAAAAATTCTCTGTTACTTTTCACTTTTAAGTTTGGGAAAAGTTTAGAAAATTTCTCCATGATAAAATAGTTTGGTCCTCTATCTATGTGTGTGGGTATGGACCATAAGATTGTGTAAATCCCTGTTGACAAAGAGTAGAAATTCTTGCTGTATATAAACTTTCTGTACAATGTATAATGTGAAAGAACAACAAACTAAGTCATAAGCCTGATGCCTCTAAGTTATATTTGTTATATTATTACCTGTATCATTTAAAGCCACTGAGTTTCAGTTTACTCACTTGCAAAATATGAGTTTTACTGTTTTATATTTTGGAGCCTCTGTGGATTTAAAATTTTTAAATTTCATGATTCTAGCCAGGCACTGATGGTGATGTACTACCTATCGGTCCTGGAGGCTGGGATTTGCTTATCTTGGTTTGAAGCCAGCCCAAGCAAGAAAGTGAATGAGACTCTTATCTCTAGTCATTTACCAAAAAAGCTCCAAATGGAGCTGTGGCTCAAATAGTAGAGCACTAACCTTTCATAGAAGCTCAGGGACAGTGCCCAGGCCCTGAGTTCAAGCCCCAGGATCAGCAAAAAAAGAAAAGAAAAAATTCACAGTTCTATGTGTTTCTTGTTAGCCATTTTCTATTCCGGAAAGGTGAATATTAGAGAATTGAATTGGTTTGCAGTAGCTTAGCAGCTTACTGTCAGTAACTGGAGTCATGTGATCAAGACCCAATACCAGTTGCAATGATAAAGATGTATATACCATTTTCACAACGTGCGACTTAAATACTATAAAGTACAGCATGCAAAGAGTTTGGTATACTGCTTCTTCAGGTATTAATTGTAGTAAAGATTCTGGGTTTATGAAGCCCTGTCTCTGATATGTAGCTGCTTTTATTCTTATCACTCTTTTGAAAAGTTTGCAGCTTCACCCATATCCGTTTAATATTTTACAATAATTGGCCCTGTTCCTGAGCTGTTGGATTCGGGGCCGTAGCACTGTCTGAGAGGTTTACATTTCTCACAGTGAACCGGTCTCTTTTTCAGCTGCTTCCTGGCTTCTTTTTACTCAGGTTTCCACGGCTTTTTTTTTTTACTTTTTTTTTTTTTGCTTTTTTTAAGTTTTTGTTATGTTGTATTAAAGTATTAACATTGCTTATATTTTTATTAATTGTAATTGCCTTTTATCATGCTTCATATTCAGAAATAAAGATTTTCAATTTAATTGACAGACTTGGCTAACTAAAATCAACTTTCTAAAACTGAAAGCTATTGCTTTAATTTGTTTTCCAAAGCATATTTAGGTGGCAAATTTAGTTTAGCTTAACTTTCTTTAAAAAAGTTAAATATCTTAAATATCAAAATCGCTAACTGAAGTCAAACTTGTCTTTTTAGGAGCATTATTATTCATTAGATCATGCCTTCAAATGGGCCTATTAAACATATATAAATTTGAAACTTTTTAGGCTCCTACTAGGAGCCCACACTATTAATTTTGCATGCCTTTAAGAAGCAAAATAATTCTGTGACACTAAGTGTAATTTTAGTTTTGTACCCATTAGATACATTCAATTCTATCAATGAATTATATCATCAGCTTTAGTTTTTCAAGTAACTCAGGACTATGTGACTCCAAATGTATTAAGTTTTGTTACTAGGAAACTATGGTAGGATCCTGATGAACACAGTGTAGAAGAAAAAACTTTAGGATTAAGTCTATAAAGTTTTGTTTTTGTTTTTTTTTTAAAAAAAAAAAAAGTCTATGAAGTGTGCTCAACAAGGACTGTACTTCAGGGCACACATTTATAAAATACCAAAGTACAAAAGGCAAGCAAGGAAGAAATAACAGAATTGTGTGAGAAGAGGGAACATACTCATTTGGATTCAGGCATCTCAAGTAAGAACTGCCAGGACAAGATGAATAATTTCTTTATTGATAGTTTTTGACCCAAGTAATAGGAATTTTGTTTGAAATACTGATAGTTCTGGCTATCCTTATTTTTTTTTATGTATTGTATGAACATTTCTTAGCATTTCTCTGTGTGACCAATATAGATTCAAACATGTAATACCTACAAATCCACCTATTTCCCATTTCCCTTCTTCATTAATCTGCCACCATTGAAATCCGGATCCAAATATATTTGGTAAGTACTCACAGATTTCCATGAATTATATAATCTTCAAATAGGATAGTGATTTTAAATAACTAGAAGCTATACTCTCTCTATAGCTATTTTTATTAGAATTGTTTATTTATATCTATTCCAGGCTCAAAGTAAGAGACCCAAAAGTGACAGAGAAGGGAAAATAGGGAGGGCAGAA